AATGACTTGGAAACAGACCTTCCTTCTTTCTCAGGGCTGTGGCACATTTTTAATAGAACTGGAGTTCACTCCCACCTACATGTTAACAGATGTTAAAGACATCATTTATGAAAGTTCCTGGGCTTGACTATAAAACTTTCTCATTTTCTTCTGGAATAAAATTGGTTATTTCAATTATTTTCTCTTAAGGGATAATTTTCTATAATAGGAAATATAGATGTCTATTTCTATTATATATGTTGGAGCAAGAGCCTTATAATAAGTAAATATGAACACATGTATTCATTCCTTCTGTTATCATCTTGGTTTTTATTTATTTCACAGGTTCTTCCATTTCTTTTATCTGTACTTGTATATCTATGCTGATGTCTTATTTGGGCTTTCACACATTTCTAGCTTAGATAATGGATTATCTACTTCATTTGGTTCTGTTTGTGTTTTTCCCACAGAACCCAGTTCTTGCATTTATTTTATATTTCTATATTGAATATTTTGGTTTTCTGATTCAGCCATTTTCATGTTTACCTTTATGGATTCAGTCTGCCTTCCTTAAACTTCTATTGATTTTATAACTCCTGTGTTTGGATACTTAATTCACTTTTGCAAGTAATGCAGTAGGCACTGAAGGCTGTGTTCACAGGCAGTTCAGGACAAGGTGGGCTTCACTTTCCCAAGACACCCTCCAGAAAAAAAGATTTGGTGAGTGCGCAGGCCTCGGGCCATGGTCAGCTGCTTGTTTGAGGGATTGGGATAAAAGTGGGCACAGTCCTGCAGCCTGTACTATTCCTGAGAGCTCAGAGCCCCCAGCCATCACCCTAACACTTCATTGATTCTGCCCTTGGGGTCACTCCCCCATTTACAACATTCAGAAAACCAGATACCAACATACAGATTCAAGGCAGGACTCATTCTTTCCAACCAAGATGAGCTTGAGCATTAACTTTTTTTTTTAAGGCACTCAAGGGAAATAATGCCAATAGCTAACAAATGTAAAAACAAGAGAATTCACTCCAGGGAATCTGCAAATGACTTTGAAGTAAATTTTTTTTTCCAGAGCAAACCCAATAAGTAGTATTTTAAAAGAACAACCCTTCTTACTATTAATCAAGAACACATAGGCATGAAAGGACCAATTAAGAATCCTGGAAATACAATTTGAAAAATTATGAAAAAATTGCTGCCCTGGCTGGGTGCTCAGAGCATCGTCCCAATGTGCCAGGGTTGTAGGTTCAGTCTCTGGTCAGGGCACATACAAGGAGCAACAAATGAATGCATGAATAAGCACAACAACAAATAGATGTTTCTCTTGCTCCATCTCCCCCCCCCCAAAAAAAATCAATTAAATAAAAAGTATTGCTTTAAAGCTTAGTAAGTGGGAAATTCCAGGAAGGATGCAGTTAAGGAAGAATTAGTAAATCTGAAGATTATATTACAGAAATTAGCTTTGAACTCAGCAAGACAAGCTATGAATATGAAAAATAAGAGTTAAAAAGAGGATGGTAGGATGAGAAACTTCAACATAAAATATTCGAGATGGTGATGACTGAGGGTTTTCCAGCACTGAAGAGACACACGCGTTCCGACTATGAACCCAGCAGCACACAACAGTGTAGGTCTGTGTACAGACACGTCATGTTCCACTGACTGGGCAGAACCAGGAGAAACAAAATTGTAAAAGAGAGCAAGAAGAGGATTGCCTCCAGAGGATTGACCAGGGCACTAACAGTCCTACCTACAGCAGCAACCTAAAGACTAAGGGGCACCTTCAAAATTGATTAAGAAACAGGCCCTGGCTGGTGTAGCTCAGTGCATTGAGCACTGGCTTGCAAACCAAACCACCGCGGTTTGATTCCCAGTCAGGGAACATGCCTGGGTTGTAGGCTAGTGCCCAGCAGGGGATGCATGAGAGGCAACCATACACTGATATTTCTCTCCCTCTCTCCTTCCCTTCCCCTCTAAAGATAAATAAATAAAATCTTTAAAAAAATTGGTTAAGAAACAAGCTGTCAATGTAGACATTCTGTATCCTGATAACAGTCATTCAAGAGTGAGGGCAAAAGGAAGGTATTTTCAGACATACAAAGGAAGACAATTTAGTGCTAATAAACCTTTGTAAAAGGACTACCAAAATACTCTTAAGCAACAGGGAATACAATGCAAGAAGCATGGTGAGCAAAAAAATCAGTAAAATATATTAGAAATCAGAAACAATGAAAGACTTAGAAAAGAAAAACAAACTAAATGTTTGTGTGAAAACTTGGACTCACAGAGAAACAGGTAGTAACTCTCTCCAAATTCTAAGAGTTATGGAGGGAGTCTTGATTGGGAGGGGTGCTTAGAGTGGACGGTGCTCTATGTCTGGACTTGGTGGTGGCGTTATAGCTGTTCGCTTTACAGTTATTAAACTGTATACCGTAAGTCCTCGCTTAACATCAGTAGGTTCTTGGAAACTGCAACATTAAAACGACGTATAACAAGACCAATTTCATCATAGGCTAATTGATATAAATAAGAGTTAAGTTCCTATAGCATATTTCTGGTCATAGAAACATCAGCAAACTTCGAAATAATGGCCCGAAACACTTCTAATGTTGAACATTGCAGTCAATGTGAGCTAGACATACATTTAAGAAAAATTAATAAAAACAAGTAATATAATTCTTCTCCAGCCTGTTTATTCCACTTCAGGGAGGCAGGTGGCCTGAGCCTGTCTGCACAGGGCGCCTTTCCAGCACAGGGCGCACTCACACGCTCACCACATGCTCACCACACTCACTAAGATGGGCAGTGCAGATACGCCCGCCTGTCTTACCTGCGTCTTTGGGACAGGGGAGGAAAGCAGAGTGTCTGGAGAAAACACCCCCAGACATGGGGAGGGCGTGCAGACTCCACAGACCGAGGCCCTGGCCGGAATCAATTTTTTCTCAGCGTTATAATGAAAGGACGTCGAAAGAAACATTATTCAAGGCCCTGCTGTAAATGTTTACTTTTCTGAATGTTATATGATTTTACATATGTGGAATACTAAGGACTAAATTATATAACATGATATAAAAAGCTTTAGGATTTAGAAAAGGAGATAAAGGTCTTTAATTATAAAAGCATTAGTAGAAAAGGTAGACTTTGAACTTGACCTGAATAACCAATGGCCATTACATATATGAAAGCAACAAAAGTGGTTTTCTTCTAGGTGGGGAGCAGGGGGAAAAGACCATTTGTAGTACAGGGTTAATGTTTAAATGGGCTGTTTGTTTTGCTTTGCTTTATTCTTAACAGGAAGGAAAGCTGATCTCCTTGAGGAAGGGCATACATTTAAGCAGTCATTAGTGACTGTTCCCCATGCCTCCTACAATTCACTGAATTAGTCACCAAGGACTGGCCACTCTACCTCCACCCCTGTGCAGAGAAAATCGTCTTTTTACTCCTCTGCACCTTTGCGAATGGCCAGAATTACTTGCACCATCACTGTCCCCACTGTCCAGAATCAGATTCGACATGTTATTCTTTGGGCTGTCCATGATGGTTTGTTAGGGCATTAAGGTGGGGGAAAAATTGTACAGCAAGAAGATATGGTCCGAGTCCATTTTTGTAAAAATGAATGACAGAAGCAGCTCATCTGTGGGCACTGATGCACGTTTTTGTAACACTGGAGTCTCTCACTCAAACTGTTCCATCGGTGGCAGCAGCCAGCATCTGGACCTCCTGAGCTGCCATTCTGTACACTGTAATAGTCTGCAGTCTTTTAGAAACATCAGTGGGGTGACACGCCCTTGCTGCCTTCCTCCTCCTCCTATGCTGAAACCCAAGTTCTTACCCTGATAAGTTTTTTTTTAATTAGCATAATGAAGAGAATATTTGGGCTCAGACACTGCAAAGTTTACAGGTAGACTTGCTTCAGTCATGATTGGATCCAGATGCTCCCCAATGGTTCTGTTTTCCTTTTGTGGCTTCATTCTCAACTTTATATGTGACAGCAAAGGGGCCACTGGCAACTGGAAACAGTCATCACTCAGCAGATCCCCCAGAAACTATTGTTTAACCAAGAGCACAAACCAAAGCTGCATGGGTGCTTCTAATTGGCCTGGCTTGGGTCATGTGCCTGGAGGTGGTGGGGAGCAAGACATCAGCACTGGCTAGAATTAAGGCACATGCCCATCTGTGGGGCATAACCTGTGTTACCTTGGCTCCTTGGGGGGAGGGAAGCACAGCCCTATTGAGATATAATTTATATATCATGCAATTCACTCATTTAAAGTGTGCAGCTCAGTGGTTTTTAATACACTCAGTTATTCTGCCATCACCATGATCAATTTTAGAACATTTTCATCACCCCCAAAAGAAATTCCTGCTCATTACTTGTCTCCACTCACTCCATCCCCACCCCAGGCAACCCCTAATCGATTTTGTCTCTATGTATTGATATTTGCCTGTTTTGGCATTTCATATAAGTGGAATCATGGTATGTGGTCTTTTGGAAATGGCTTTTTCCCCTTAGTGTAGTGTTTTCAAGGTTCATCCATGTTGTAGTGTGTTGCTTTGCCTTTTAATAAGGCCCTTTATGAAGTCTTAAATGATCTGCTGGCTCCTAACTACCTTTCTGTCCTCATACTAACCTGTTCTCTCCCTTACCTGCTGGGTTCCACTTCACTTACAGAACTGCTGAGACCCTTTGTGTTGGGATAAGGGCCCGAAGGTGGAAGACCAGTGAAAAACCAGATGTGGTTAAGAAATAACAATGGGCAATGCATTGTTATTCAGTGTTTCACAATGAAGCCACCCTTGATTGTGAATGAGGGCTTTTTTGGATTGCTTGCTTCCAATGCAATAAGTGATGGCCAATTATATCTTTGGTTAAAAGTAGGCCCGGGATCTCCTGGGATAATCCCAGTTGTAAACCTTCTGCCCTATGCGTCCCTCAGTCACACTCTTAAGATGGCATGACCCCCTTCTGGTTTGGAAGACGTTGTCATCACATGGTAGTTCTCTTCTCTACTCTCCAGGAGAGTGAAGAGGAACTGTACTCCTCCTGTCGCCAGCTGCGGAGGCGGCAAGAAGAGCTGAACAACCAGCTCTTTCTATATGACACACACCAGAATTTGCGCAATGCCAACCGGGATGCCCTCATTAAAGAATTCAATGTCAACGAGAACCAGCTCCAGCTGTACCAGGAGAAGTGCAACCGGAGGTAGGTCAGCCCCTTCCCCACCTGCAGACCCTCAGGTCTTGCTCCTCTCAGCACAGCGACCTTGGGCACCTGGGGCCAGGCTTTGGGAAGGCACCACCATCATTAGAACTCCCTTGACCAATACCCTTGACTTTAGCTCTCTTTGCTCAATAAATGAAATTTTTTTAGTACTATCTTGAGTATCTGCACTTTCCCTAAGCTGAACTGTCATCACTAGAGGGACACTCAATATAATGGTGAATGTGAATGATGACCACTATCTTCTAAAGAGCCTCTGTTGCATTCCCAAGAAGGGGCTAGTCCAGTGGTTCTGAAGCAGGGCAGAATCCGCCCCCACCCCACCATGGGGTGCTTTGGATTGTGCTATAGACTGGTAATGAGGGTAGCCTAGCCAGGATGCCTAGTGTCCGGTAATGTGCCGGACAGCCCCACTCCACAAAGCACTAGCCCCCCAAAATGCCCAGGGCAGCCTCCAGTGGGAAATAGCGTGTGGACCCCTTACCCATATTATTCTCACTGCATCTTTACTTCAGCCTAGCAAGTGGCAATGACCAAAGAGGAAATTGAGACTCAGGTAAAATATCTTGCCAAGAGGTCACCATCCAGCCATGAATGACCTGCAGATGTGTGGACAGGAAACATTACGGAGCCCCCAGCCTGTGTGTTGGCCTGTGTGTTGGCCCAGGGGATGACAGTGACATCTGTTCCATTTCAGGTTAAGAGAGAAGAGAGTCAACAACAGCAAGTTTTACTCATAGAAGCTGGGTGTACGTGTAAGGGTGTTGTGTGTGAGCATGTGTGTGCATGTAGAAGAATGTGCTACATTCAGACCCTGGGATCACGCGAATCTCTGACGTCTTCCTCTGGCCAAGTCTACCGTCAAGATGACTTTTCTGAAGGAGACCCAGTCAGCATGAGTTGGGGTGATTTCCTCCCAATGTTTTCATCTTGGACAATTTCTTAACTTATAATTCTCTCTAGGGGATCCTAAAATCACGTTCCTCGTTTTTGGCCTCTTGTGTTCCGAACTCCATTGAATAAAAGCAGTGAAAACCTCCAACAGTTAGACCTTCTGTGCGTGACCTGCACAGGGAGCAGGATTCTTTCTCTGGCCTCTAAAAGCCCAGGTGGTTGACTTCCACGGGTGATGAGCCCTCAGTGTAAGCAACTAATAAGTTAGCTTCTGAAAAGGGTTTTAACAGGAAGGCAAACAATTCTACAGTTAAGGCCATCGGCATTCACGAGGGTGCAAAGAGGAGCCCAGCCTCCCTGCACCAGGTCAGCGGGCTCAGCTCAATGCACCTTAACTACCACCGGCTGGCTGGCTGGACAGGCTCAGCTACAGTGCCTGAGAGTCCGTGGAATCTGTTCATTAAGACAATTTCTAGTTAATGGTTGGGACTTGCTTTGTGACTGGAGTTATTGGGAGTGAGAGGTGGAAATTTTGGAGCCATGTTGATTTAAAAAGCCTGTTAGAAAGCAGAGACCCAGCCAGCTTCTTGCTCACCGCTGCTCTGCCCACTCCTGAGCTGGCTGTGTGACCACAGTGCAGGGCCCTGCGTCTGCAGCTCCCACAGACAAAAGGTCAATTTACTGATTAAATGAGGTGATGCAAATTAGGCTCCAGTGAGGAATTCCTCTGGATGACTCAGTTTCCCATAGCGGCAAGCTGAGTGTTGGGGCTTCAGCCTTAGAAAGCTACAGAAAATCTCAGATGCAGCTACCTCCACGCAGCAGACCCACTAGGACAAGATTACACTCCTCTGCATCTTGAGCACAATATAATGATTTGTACAGTGTGATGCTTTCACAAGACTTTTTAAAGATGAGGACAGTAATCAAGGGTGTGGTCAGTAGAGCGGCAGCTTAGAGTGAATTGAGGACCAATTTAGAGAGAAAAAGTGTAACTGTGAAAAGAAGATGTGGTGGGGAGGAGCAAACTAGCAAGAGTTAAGACTGGTGGCTTTAATTGGTTGGAACTGGGTCCTAGCAACCCATTCAGCCCTCCCCTGGTTACCATGGGCTCAAGAGAGCCCATACTGGGCAGTATGTGAAAACTGATCAGGCTCTCTCTGACCAAGACCTTATCCTTTCATTCCACAAAAATTTCTTGAGCACCACCATATGCCAGGCACTATGCCAAGGTCAGGGGGGTACAATGTTAAACAAAAAAAAATTTTTAAAGAAATCAAAAAGCCATGGTTACTGGTCTTAGGGAATATATCCACGTGCTTCTAAAAGAAATGTATTTTACCTTCTAGAAAGCCAGGAGACTAGGTAATGGCAGTTTGACGGAGGTGGGGCTCTCATTTTGTAACACTGTTTTAGTTATTCCTTGAATTGGGGGTTATTTTATTTGGCAGCCAGCAACTCAGGGAACACACTACTCCTGATGGTAGCAAGTGTTCAAAGCAACTTTCAGGGAAGGCTGGATGAAAAAAGGTCCTGAGCTGCAGGCTGCAGGGAAGGAACATACAGACTCTGTAAGCCAGTGGCCCATTAGCCACCTGGGCCAGGTAGCCCCTGGAGCCTGATTACTGTACCCCCACTGTGCCATCCATGTCCCTACTGGCTCCATTATTACCTCTACACAGTGGAGCCCAGATTTTGCTGTCATTACCTTGTTTTCAGCTCAGGAGTAAGGAAAAGATGCATACCTTCCCACTTCAATCCATCCTAAAGCCAAAAAGTTTAGTAAGGCCAGGATCCCCTTTCTGCTTAAAGTGGATGTTTTGCTAAAGAAATTGAGAAGCAGTGGCACAGAAAAGAAAGCAGGAGTTAAGCACCTTTCAACTGCCACTGTGTAAAATCTATACCCAGCCACAGGTATGCACAGGTGCAAATGGTGCTGGGAAGAATTCTGTCCCTAAAACTGTCTCTTCCTCCTAGATGCTTTGATAACTCAAATCCACCATTAGAGAATATTTGTTTTGGTTGCCACATTCTCTTAATAGGGTAACACATGAATTTAATTCCTGGTGGTGTTAGGATTCTCTCAGGAAAGACACAGGAGGGGAAAGTGAAGGGTGCAGATGACATCATTGCTGTCTCTAGAGTCTGCCTGGATGCCACAAAACCTAAGTCCTACAAAAGACCTGGCTGAGGTTACGGCTTAACAGTCATGGGTTAAGCACAGTTCATTCAAACCAAAAGTAGGGACAGAACATCTTGAAATATGGCCCCGGTGTTGATGGACCAAAACCATGATTGTGTGTGCATTAAACTGTTTTTCTCCATCATCATTTTCCTTAGGTTATGACTGAGGCACCGGTGATTACATGGACAAATGAGAGGGGGGAGCTGGTTAGATCATTTGAGTTTGGAAAATTTAGGTTATACAAAGTTAAATTATTGCTTTCCATGAGAATTGGATATTGTAATGTGCATAGTGAAGAGTGGTGTCGAATACCACATTTCCCAAATTTGATCTCAGGACCCTTTTGCCAAGGAAAATTTGGAGGCTTGCTCTATTAAGAAGGCAGTCAGGCAACATAATATAATAATTTACAGTTGAACCTTGACCAGCAAGGGGGTTAGGGACACTGTCCTCCCCCACAACTGTGCAATCAAAAATCCATGTGTAACTTTTTGCTCCCCCCAAATTTAAATACTAATAGCCTATTGTTGACCAGAAGCCTTACCAATAACAGAGTTGATTAGTACATTTTGTATGTTATATATGTTGTATATACTGTATCCTTACAATAAAGTCAGCTAGAGAAAAGAAAATGGTAAGAAATTGTAAGAAAGAGAAAATACATTTACAGAATTAATTGGGAAAAATTCCCATATAAGTGGACCTTTGCAGTTGAAACCTGTGTTGTTCGACTGTATATGTCCTGTGACCTAGTTAAACAAAAATCTAAACTTAAGCCACTAAGGCCACTGGTCTTTGAACTGGGCCAGCCCTACTACCCCTAGCAGTCTTCAAGAGGTTTCCACAGAATACACAGACTCAAATAGTTTTAGGGGATCAATTTTCAGATCTTCACCTTCCTATTATAAATTTTCTTAATTATCTACTTGAGAAAGTGCCCTTTTCTCTCTCAAAAAAGAAAATATATCTTTCCGCATCTTCAGTCTTGCTGTAGAGCATGACTCACAGTGTGAAATTCAAAATATGGGTGTTTAGACAGTGAGGGCTTCTTAACAGCAGGGTGCAAATCCTTTTGCAAGTCTGGTGGCTCCCAATTCTTTGCTTTCAACAAACTTGAAGGAACGCCCAAGATTTCTGAATATTTTAGCATGTGATTCTGAAGCATTGGAAGAATTCAGTTATCCTGCTATTACAAATGCCTTCTGTTCCCATGTACTTATCCATGTGAACAAGGATTATCAGCACTTTCACACAGAAAATTTAAAGGGAAAGTAGAATCGATGCTGCACCATGGCCATTCTAACAATGATAACATTCATCTGCAGATAGGAGAAATAATTGGGCTGGGGAAACCTTCCTCATCTCATTGAGTATTACGTTGCCAATGAAATTTTACTATGGCTAATAATTTATTGAAATTTGTACTATATTTATTGATCAAGTTCAATCCAGGAGAAAATATTTAAATACATAGAGCCTTATAAGATCACATTTTGTTACAGATCTACAACTAAGCAATAAAAAGACCAAAAATAATTAAGCTAAAATTTTGAGGGGGAAGTAAATTAAAAATACAAGTTCGAGGAGTAAAAGGAAAAGCATGTCACTTCCTGTGACAAAAAAATTGCTTTCTTCATGCAGTTTCTGAAAGGGTGATGGAGTCTGTCAATGAGCGCTGGGTGCAGAGCCTCTCAGCCAAGTTCAAAACCGAGCGTAGCAGTTTTATTTAAAGATGCAGTATGAGCAATATGCCGGCACTTTTATCCTTTGCAACCACTATGAGAAAATTTTTAGGCAAAAGTTAAAAAATTTACTTCAGAGGTTTCTGAGCATAAAGTTTCCGTTGTCTCATCGAGGGCCACTGGACGGTGAGCTGCATTGGGAGCAAGAACGGCTGAAAGGGGCCGCAGTGCTTTTAACTCCTACGAGGACTGGGACTTAAACTTTCGTCTTGTGTCACATTTAACTTTTGGGGGGCAACCCTAGAAGTCATATTCTAGCCAATAAAAAGTTAATTAGATGAAGACATATGCAGAATTACAAAATTGGCATGGGAAAAATACTCAATGATTTGTCTCAGGTTTTTAATTTTCAAAATATTTTTATCTTTAAGAGCCAGATTCCTGTCTCTCAGAAATTTCCACTTTTTCATTAGGCTTTAAAAAGCTGCATTTGTAAACTTGTGTTTCATTATTAAAGCTTAATTTATTTTTTATATAAATAGTGTGTGCTTCTGTGTACATAGAGAATAATATGTATGAGTCACACAAATGTTGGCTATCGTCAGTGTGAAAATTAAAGGGCTGTATCACATTTTTAAAAATAAAAAATTGATCTAAATGAATGCAACAGTCTGTCCAGAACTATTTTTTAGAAGCTATTCATTCATTGCTCCCACATAAAACAATAAAGAAATACTTCAGCCATGAGGTAGGCATAGTTATAATTCTTTTTTTAAATGTGTTTTTCTATCCTGTCAGTTCCAGCAAGAGGTATACGATCATCATCTGACCACAGCGAACGTGTAAGGCCTGCCACTCCCTCCAGCTGAGTCTGGGGTACTCTTCCTTACTACTGAGTGAATCTTGCTCAGTTTTTAGGTCTGTGGCGTAGGTTTGCAGGGTCAACAGACCGCTGTTCTGAAGAAGCTGTCTCCATGATTCTTCGAGCTGGTGGGTATTTGTGATTGTCAGACTGTCCTGATCCCTTCTATCATCTTTCCCACCCATCCTGGTCTTAAACTCTGAACCCCTCAGCAGGCGTGCCAGTACCGGAGTGTGGTGGTCAGTTCCTCTTTGGTCAACTGACAGGTTAAGCTAATTGGGTTCCCTGTTGCTTGAAGGCATATCCATGAAAAGAACTTTTTCCTGAGTAGATATTCATTTTTGCTTGAAAAAGAGGAAGATTTGGGTCTGTTCCTTTGCTTTTCTTATTAACTACCAAAAGAAAAAAGGAGCAAAGGGGTTGTGCCAGGAGGATCTCTGAGGTAAGGGAGCATGTTTAAGGATTGGGAGCAGCAGATTGGGGGATCACTGCTAATGGCCACCAAGACTGATACACTTTCTTAGTTATTAAAAAAAAATGTGTTTTTCTATCCTGTTACACTTTTCTGTAGGTTACAAGTCTATCTTACTTTCAGCAAAAACTCGTGTAATGTAGAAACCCAAGTTTACAAAATTATTACATGACCACTGTTTAATTCATCACTGAATTAAACATGGGAAGAATGTTTGGTACTAGAGGAGCAACGAGCGAAGTGATAGGCTGTGCTGGAACTGTTGGTCACCGTGTTTTCTTGCCAACAATCTCCGGTGTGCAGGAAGCCACATTCTGTGGTGTTATTGTGACTGTCCCACCCTCAGCTCTCAGCTGCAAATGACTGGATTAGTCATCCTGGTCCAGAAATTTAAAATAGCCTATGATAAGCCCTGCATTAGAAGGTGAACAGCAAATGGTGAAAAGCAAAGAAGGAATTAGAACTACTAAAAGACCACGTTTAAATGGGTAAAATCATAACTCTAAAGATATCAAAGAAACACACACCAAAAAGTATGTTTAACTCACTAATTAACAAAGGAACCAATAAAATGTTACAACAGATTTAAAGATGAATTCAAGGAACAATAGTATTTAGGCTCTCAACTGTCAACATTGTCTGATTCTGTGCCTTTCATTGTGAGTCATTCAGATGATTCTCATTCACAGAATTACAGACTGTGTCTAGTGGAGATTCAGCTGACCGTTGTTGCTCCAGGACACTGACCAGTATTGCCAGTTTTATACCTACTAAGAAAATATACTTAAGCATCACTGATGGACAGGAAATCAGATGCCTAACTTACACCACACACAAAAAACAAGTCCAGGAGATTTTAGATTAAGATGTAAAAGACACCTGGCCAGTGTGGCTCACTGGTTGGGGGCACATACAAAAGGCAACCGATTGAAGTCTCTCTCTCACATCAATGTTTCTCTCTCTCCCTTACCCTCTTCTCTAAAAAAAGAAAAGAATCAATAAGCATATTCTCAGGTGAGGGTAAGAAATGTAAAAGATAAAATAATAACATTCCTAGAAGATATTCACAACCTTGGAGTAGGGAAAACTTGCTTAAACAAAGGAAGATTGCTAAATTAGCTGCCACCAAAGTTCACAGCTGGTGTTTATCAAAAGATACAACTAGCAGAGTAAAAAGGCAAGCAAGCCAAAGGGTAGAAGAAGATATTGGCAATAATGTATCTGACAAAGAACCTCAATCAAATATGATTGCATCCCTCCAAATCAATAAAAGCAATCCATTAGAAAAAATTAGGCATATCTCATGAATAAACACCTCACAAGAGTATATCCAAATGACTGTAAGCTAATGAAAATATGCTCATTCATTCAAAACAGAAATGCAAATTAAAACTACAAGATAACCACTACACTTACTAGAGTGGTAAAAACTAAAAAGCCTAATAATACTACCAACTGTTGACAAGACTATAGAGCAACTGGCGTGCTGGTTGTGTAAATTGGTACAAAACTGCATTGTAAAGGTGTTTGACACTACTGAAGTTAACTGTATGCATCTTCTACAACCCAGCGATTCCACCTCTAATTGTATACCTGCTAGGAATGCACAATTCGCACCACACAACACAACATGCACCAGAGTGCCCACAGTCCGTTATCCACAACAGGCAAAACCAAAGAGTCCTACTGTCCATGTCCTGCAGAATGGGTGAACTGTGCGTTTTAACAATGGAGCATACACAGCAACGACAAATGACTGAGCTATACCAACTTGTAACAACATGGACAGATCTCAGAAGCATAAGTTTGAGTGAAAGAAGCTAGACACACAAATGTACCAAAGGAAAAAAATGGACCAATATAAATTATCAGAAGGGCACAGGGAAACACAGGATATTTGCAAGATGAACTAGTATAAGGAAGTGAAATGGTGTGGAACCCGGCACATATAGAGATCATGGATACACTTAAATCGTTGGAGAAAAGTACGATACAGAACAATGCGTACCCAGTGATGCCTCTTAAACACATTTCAGGAAACTACATGCAAAATAATATTTCTTGTGACAGTTAGGCAAAAGTATAAAATGGACTAAAAGGAACACTTGGTAAAGACTGAGTCAGTGGAGAAGGTTAGTAAAGGCAATGAGACTGAGGTCAGGAAAGGTAGTTTGAGCTCTGTTCCATGTCTTTTTAAAAAATATTTATGGGGAGTGCCACTGTGCCTGGCACAAACGTAAAAGCAGGCATGCTCTACCAAAAATGGATTGAGGCACATTCAAGCTTTCTGTTTCCTGGGTGAAACATAAACAGAAGAATAAAAAATAACGAAATATAAATAAAGGAGCGGCAAAGGTAGAAGGTGGGGAATCAGAGAGACTGATTTAGACTAAAAGAAATAGTACACGGTGTGAATGTCTAGCAATTCTGGGTAGTGAGAAAATGCTGTTACATTTTTATCTTTACTTTCCTATTTTTTTCAATTTTGTTTTAAAAAAGGGGGGGAGGAAGGAAAAATAAAGCTATAAAAAAAGATGTACCAGGTAAATTCTAATAAATATAAAGCTGGTGTAGCATTGTTAACATCAGACAAAAACACAATGCAAGGAAGGTACCACTAAGAAAGGCAATATTTTATGTCAATGACAAAGGACTTTGCACCAACAAACTGTAACAGACACAAATGTTTGTGCTTCTCGCAGCAAAGTTTTTAAAATATTAGGGAAGGAAATCCACAAGTTCACAATTACAGTCAGAGATCAAGAGCTGTCTCTCAGAAAACCATAGTTTAAGGAGGCAGAAATGTAAAAAAAAAGATGAGTGGAGCCACCTTAAAACAGAGTGGGAGCTGCCATCCCAGAGGAACTGCCTGGCGGGCATCATATGTCTCAAACCTTTGGAATGTTAACACCTGGGGAATAACCTTTGGATTGGGTCTCTTGTTGCATCCCAGAGAACAGTTTGCAAAGGTAACAAGGAAGAAATACTGTGACTACTGGACTGATGGTTGCCCGACTGAAAATTGAAAACATTGTTTAGAATGAACATTATGTCAGCTTACAGAAAAATGCCTTCCTTCTTGATGTGGCTGTTCCCCTTTGTTTCTCATAAATCCTTCTTGCCTTTGTCTCCTGATGGGAACGCTCTTTGAGTTTCTTTCTGCCTGAGTCAGTACTTCTCAAGTAACTACTTTAAAAAAAAAATCACAAATAAATGCTTGTAACCTCTCAGTCTTGCCTTTTGCTTTTAGGTTAATGTATCGTAAGGACATAGAGACTCTAATATGTCACAGCTTTGGTCAAATGCACACATAAGGTCCTACTAACACACACTGACTTTTGGTTCGGGCACAGCACCTTGACAAGTATTGGCTATCCACCGAGCCACAGGGCTGAGGCTGGGGGCAGGACTATTTTAAATGCCCTCATACAAATCTAAATTCACCGCCACAAGGAAGTTGCAGACAAAAAGATGTCCCCCTGAAGTGCTTGCACTTGAAAATTTTAAAACCTATTTCTAAAATACTTTTTAGGTTAAAGACACAGAATACAACTTTTGCTCATAAAAAAACAGGAGTTTTAAGTACATTTATTATAAAAACAATAAAAGGTTAAAATAAATGACCTGAAGCAAGGAAAGCTCGCTTAACTTAGAAGCGAAGAAAAAACCCTCAAAACTAAAAAAAGAAAATTTTATTATAAAAGAAATTCATGAAGCAGAGAACTAAAATTAATATAATTTACAAAACGTTTCTTTAAAAAAAAAAGCTAATGAAAAAATTTTAAAAAGAACAAAGAACCATATCAGGAGTTTTTTTAAAAAGTGAGTTTTTGTAACTATAGAGTAGATTTAAAAAGAAAGGAAAAGACTAGCTTAGACAAAAGGCATTCTATTAAAGTGAAAAATGACTAAATATCAAGAATCACTGGAAATCTGACTAATCCAATTACAATGAAAGAAGCCGAAGCGGAAGTAGAAATAGCAGCCAGAGATCCGGCCCTGAGGCGGCACCAGCTCCAGGTGACTTAACGGGCAACTTCGACCGAACACGGAAGAAAACGGGGACAGTGTGTGTGTGCATATGCGCTAAAAACACATGCCATGCGCCCTCTCACAGTTTTTATTTTTGTTTTGTAAATGCTTTATTCACTTGAACTAGTATCCTCAGTAGCTGATACAATTGAGCCCCCAGTTTGGCCTGGTCACCGGACAAATGACCCTTCTGAGACCTCAGAAAACAGGGCAGTGTGGGGACTAGACCTGGTTGTGCCCTTTCTTCACTGACCAGTCACCGCAAGCAGCGGAGGACATTCCAAGAGCTTTCCACG